TTTGCTGGGAAAATTCCAACTATTCTTAGTGGAGTATCTGTTAGGAATACAAGCAAAAATATTTGAATAAGTTAAAACTTTTTCCTAAAATCACATTTTATTGAGTCAAACTAAGTTTTTTTTTTTTAGATAATGAAGGTAACATACATTTTTTATTAAATGGTTAAAAAGAAATTAAGTCATCATCCAAATGATGTCTAGATTCCATGTGCCATTTTTTTCATGCTTTCACTATTGTTTTTCCCAAATTATCTCCTTTCAGCATTCCCATAAATGCAGCTGGCATGTTTTCAAATCCTTCAATGATGTATTCGTGGTACTGGATTTTACCCTCTATGACCCATGTCAGCAAAAAAAGCCTTTCAAAGCCGGACCTCTCCTTGCCAGCGATAAACGATGAACCCTTCCAAGCAGAGCTGCTGATAAATAATATTCTCTTGGGGTGGGCCTGGGGGAAGTGGGCGAGTACTATTATACGTCATGATGGCCCCACAAATAGAAATTCCTCCAAATTTCTTTATCTGGGGAATAACAATGTTTGAAAACTTTCCACCTACATTATCAAAGTAACAATCATAACCATCAGAAAAGGCTTTTTTCAGTTTCTTCCAAAGACTCCACGGTTTTGTAGTTAAAAGCAACATGATATCCAAGCTTTTTAAGGTACCCAACCTTTTCATCAGACCCTGCTGCTCCAACAACTTTGCAGCCCTTGAGCTCAGCAATCTGCCCCACCACAGAGCCCACTGCTCCTGCTGCTGCATTAACCATCACTGTTTCTCCATCCTTCACATCACAGATGTCAAGGAGGCCAAAGTAGGCCGTTAGACCTGTCATGCCAATTGTTCCCAGAGCCAAAGACCCTGGTACCGTGTCTGGCCACTCTGCAGGCAGCTTTCCAGATCTTTCCCATCAGAAATACAGTGCAATGTCCAGCCTGGAGAAGCCACTACCACAGTTCCTGCTGGGAAGGCTGAGTTTTTACTTTTCACAACTCTGGCCACTTGCTGCCCTATCATCATATCACCCTCCTTCAACCTTTTGGCTGCCAATCTCATGTTAAGGATCCACGGTAAGGAACAAAGCTTCCAGCAGGACCTCTCCATTTTTTAAGGACAGGAGTTCAATTGTCTTTAACTCAAAGTTACTATGTATGAGTAAGGGCTGCCTTCAAAGTGCTTCTTTAGAATCCAGCTCTTAGCATGAACCATCCTGAAGTTCAAAGAGTCCACAGGTTCCACTACCGAGAAAGAGGAGGAGGTTGGGGTTGTCGAGTCAAACGTTAACAAACTATATTAAGTCAATTAAAACTAAGCCTGGGCATCCTTCCTTGATAGGCACATGGCTTCTGTGGAGCTGCTCTGACCCTGGCTATGTGAGAGGAAAGCCAGTCAAGTGAAGAGCGCCCACCCAATAAACTGCATCATCTATACAGGATGCGGATCCATTCGGTAGACAAGCTGTACTGCTGGAGAAAGCTGGCAAATTATAAGCTATTTGCTGCAGTGAGTGACAAAAATTACCTTCTGACCAAGGAACTGCTGCTATTCCCAAATGCTGAAAAAGTGTTTCTGAAATCATAATGGGTGGTTTTACTATTCCAAAATTTCTAGGATCCATTTTAAAGAAGTCACAGTAGATCACTTCTAGCTCTCCATCTACCTTTTTTCGCAGGGACTAAAGAGAGAAAGAGATAACGTGTTCAAAATTGTCAGTTATGCATACTTTGTACCAATTCAAAAATCTACTTTAAGAAATTTACCCCAAAATTTAAGAGTTAAGAGAAATTAATGCCTGAAAACTTTGTACCAATTCAAAAATCTACTTTAAGAAATTTACCCCAAAATTTAAGAGTTAAGAGAAATTAATGCCTGAAAAGTGACGAAAATACACTACTACTAAGAAAAAGCCCAAAAAACAAAAAAGCCTTCAACCAATTCTTATTCTTTTGCTATCTCTGTATCGATGGCTTCAATTGCTCAAAAAGTGTCCCCACACTAATCCGATTGCTTAATGGAGGCTGCCTGGAGCACTGGCAGCGATTCTAAGATCACACCTGGGCCCAGGCAGAGAGCTACAACCTGTCTGCAGGTAGTGGCAAAATGCTTCATAGAAGAGGAAAACAATAAAAATATTAAAGTGAAAGGCAGACAGTCCTTTTTTTTACTAGAAGAGTTTAAGGAGTCCTTTCCCAAATGAATGTGGCTATACTCATTGTGTAGATCACCTTCCATTTTCCCCTGGGTTTTTCATTTCTGTTTTCTAAAGATAGAAGCACTATAGAGGGAAAGCTCTTTGTCTGCTGGAAGAAGTCTGATATACCTCAATCTTTTCACTGCCTCAATGTGCTCATTCTGCCGTAGCACTGGAGATCTTAGTAGTGAGAGCAAGGTCAGCTACAGACTCCATAAAACTTAATTTGAAGTTGTAAAAAAATCAAATAGAAGAGGGCACAATGTGACTTGATATGCGTTTTGAGGTTCTCATGCACAGAAAATTCTATTGGTATACATCAAGGTTTCAAGAATTTGCAATTTAAACTCATGAAATAAAAACCCTAATTATTCTTAAGTGTTTGATTTTAATCTAAGTATTACTCTATTTCTAAATCTAGTAAATTCTAATAATCATTTTTGCGAAGATCCTTAAGAAAGACTAGGGAAGGAACATACTGGGGTAGAAATCAAATACTTTTGGCCCTGTTAATTTTGAGATGCCTATTGGGTGAACCAAGTGGCAATGCCAGGTGAGAATCTGTAGGCCTAAATTGGGAGGTCAGTGCCGTGGTCCAGGCTAAAGACATGCATTGGTGAGGACTTGGCTTTTTGAAGGTTATTAAACCCAGGGGTGCAGATGAGGCCCCCTAGGGAGAAGCACAGAAGACTAGGCCTGAGGATTGAATAACTCCAGAGTCCACAAGAAGCTGAAAATAAGCCAACAATGTAAAGAAAGCCAGAGTGTGGCATTATGACAGAGAAAAAGAACACTCACTTGATGCACATCTTTTTTCTTTAAAGGATTTTTTTTTTTATATTATTTGAGAGAAAGAGAGAGAGCATGTACAGGGGAGGGGGGGCGGTAGCAGAGGGAGAGGTAGAAGCAGATCCCCGCCCTCCCCCCCCCACCCCGCAGGGAGCCCAAATGGGGGGGGGGGGGAACGACTGGATCTCAGGACCCTGAGTTAAGAGTTGAGCCTAAGGCAGACACTTAACTGACTGAGCAACCCAGGTGCCCCTCACTTAATGTGTATCTTAAAAACATATTATACTGAAATTCTTACAAATTGTTCTATGTATAGCAATAAAATAACCTCACGAGTTACTCAAGAGTCATATTTTTAAATATAATGATTATTAAATTATTATGACTTATATTTTAATAGTCTATTAAATTATCATGACTATTAAAATATAACAGTCATAATAGTATTATGACTATTAAAATATAATAGTTATAATAAATGATTAATATTTAATCTTAAACTAAGAAAAGCTAATGAATTTTGATAGGCATGTAAGAGGAATGCATACATTAAGACTTTGTTCTGTACATTTTTTGTTTTTGTATGTCACATACCATTCTATAATGATAATAATGATAATGATATGACAGCCAAAATTCTAAAATAATTCAATTCTAGGGGTAGCTTGGGTGGCTCAGCGGTTTAGCGCGGCCTTCAGCCCCAGGGTGTGATCCTGGAGACCCTGGATCGAGTCCCACATCAGGTTCCCTGCATGGAGCCTGCTTCTCCCTTTGCCTGTATCTCTGTCTCTGTCTCTCTCTCTGTGTCTCTCATGAATAAATAAAATATTTAAAAAAATAATTCAATTCTACAATAATAGTGAAATCACATTTAAAAACTTGATTGCATTTAGGATTCAAAAACAGTACAATTTATCTTATTTAAATAGCAACAAGAGGGGCTTCTGGGTGGCATAGTTGGTTAGCGTCCCACTCTTGTTTATGTCTCAGGTCAGGATCTCAGGTTCATGAGATTGAGCCCCATGTTAGGCTCCACACTCAGCAGGGAGTTGGCCTGTGATTCTCTACCTCCCCATCTACCCCTTCCCCTGTCACCCCTGCTCGCTCGCTCTCTCTAAAATAAATAAAGTCTTTAAAATAAAAATAAATTGCAGTAAGATCCTATACAAGTGGGTATTAAGGTCTCTAGTTTATGTATGAAAAAAACAAAGTCAAACAGGTTAAGTTACTTAATTTCCACTTCACTGTTAAGTGAAGCTGTCTGCTATAAAGTAGCAGATTTCACTAAAAAAACCTATTTGGATAATGTTTTCACTACATGCAACTGTTACCGGACTATACCGAACCTTTCTTGCCTCTGAAACACTAAATCCAGAGTTAATGAAGTCCCATTAACCTAGATTCTATGTTGAGGAAACAGAGGCATCCCAGGGAACAAATCTCAGAACTCAATCTTTCAGTTCAATCTTTCAGTCATTCAACAAGCATTGACACTTAATTCCATACTTATTGTACTATATTCCAGTCACTGGGGATAACAATATATTTATAGCATGATCCTCAAAAGTGATTCTATAAGAGTAAACTGTGTTCTTAATTTTCACTTTCCTACATACTCAAAGATAGCTGACTGAGCAACAAATTATTTTTAGAAACAAAGTATACCTGCAAATGTGGAAGAAAAGTTCTGTTACTTTCAAGGGCAATCACTTTGGCCTTGCTTTTAAGTAATGCTTGAGTCAGAATCCCAGGACCTAGTGTTATTAACAGAACAAAAAGTTTATTTGCAAAAGAAAAAAAAATTCTTTGAATATCGACTAAAGCAGACATTTTACCTGTATTACCTAATTTTGATCCTCACAACATCCTCAAAGTAGATATCACACTGTTATGACATGTAAGGAAACCGGGGATTGGATAAAATCATTGGACTCCAACATCACAACTAAGTGCTGCTGTGCTGCTTGGCTTTGAACCCACCGTGTCCAAGCCAAGCCAAGCCAAGCCAAGCCTGCCTGCGTTCTGAATCACAATGTTTCACTAGGTCTCAGCAAAACAAAGATGCCTTTAACATACCACGCATAGGCGGGCTACACAGAAACTCTAACCATGAAAGATACTGCCAAATCTAAACAGAACTGACTCGTGACACCCAGTGCTGCTTTAAGTAAGTATTTTTCAGTTTGGGGAGTGCTAGGCTCTTGACCTTCGAGTTCTAAGTTCGAGCCCCACGCGGGGTAGAGAGATTACTTAAAATCTCCCCCCCCCAAAAAATGTCTTTTTCAGAACGTCTATACATCTTACATTCTCTAGGAGGACTATGTAAAAATAAAGGTTCTTGCCAGGGGTGGGGGGGGGTGGAGCGGGGGTCGTGCAAGTATCTGGAGGAGTCGGCAAAATCCAGCAGCAGGCGGAGCGCCGCAGACATCGCTCCCGCGTGGGGATCCCGACAGACCGCCCACCTGCTCCCGGGCGCCGTCGGGGGGGGGGGGGGGTCGGCAGGAGTGACTATCCAGGAAGCGCTGCCCCGACGCACTCACCTGGATTGCACTCCAGCAGGAGCTTGTCGGCGGTTTTCCTTTCGTTCTCCAGGATATGCGCCAAGGTCGTGGCCAGTTTCGGACTGGTGATGTAGCTCCTGGGCTCTGAGCGGCACCTGGGGAACCAGGACGGTGAGTCCTTGAAGCCCTGCGTGGGCACCAGCTGCGGGTGGAGGTCAGACAGGGCCCGGCGGTGCCCGGGGCACACGCCCGTCCGCCTCGCCGCTCCCGGCCCCAGAACGCAAAAGCGCCCCGCGCCGGCCATGGCTGAGAGCGCCAGGCGCGGCGGCAGCCCCGCCGCGGGGACCGACATCCTCACTCTCCGAGGTCTGCGCCAGCGTAACCGGCGAGCGTCACATCGCCCGCGAGCTCCGTGCAGAGCCCCCACCCCCACCCCCCACGTGCCGCTGGTCCCCACCACCCTCCTAGGCCCCGCGCGACTAGACGCCGCACACTGCGCATGCGAACGGTCCCCCTTCCTGCCACTTCCCTCACTTCCGCTTCCGTCCGGGCGAGCCGCCCCGGGATTGCGAGTGGACGGACGAGGAGGCCGACGGACCATCCGGGTTGCGTCTGGACTGGTACTCTATGGTCGCGCTTCCTCTCTAGCCGCCCGAGCTCTATGCTCCGTGGTCGCTGGCCGCCCGCCGCCAGCCGGCCAGCCGGGAAGGGTGCGCAGAGGGAGGCGGGGCGGGAAGGCTAGAGGTGTCTCCTCCACCCGCGCGGCGGGAGACCCGAGCCGGCTGGGTGACAGCTCTTCGGCCGCCATGTCAGCCAGCGGGAATGGAAACAGAGCGGGCGCCCGGCCGTAGCCCCGCGTTCGCCTCCGACTCGCAGGTGAGGAGAGGAGAGGAGGGAGCGGGCGGCGGGCGGCGGGCGCGGGCGGCGGGCGGCGGGCGGCCGCGGCGGGAAGCCCCCCTGCCCGCCCCCCGGGACCCCTGGCTCCTCCCCCGGCGCCGCGCGCAGCCTGGGTGCTCCGCGCGCCCTCCGGGCAGCCCGGTGCCCTGGACTCGCCCTCCACCCGGGGCCGTCGTCCCTCCGCCCTCCGCCGCCGCCGCCCGGAGGCTCCCGTCCTCACCCCCGGCCAAGGCTCTACCTTCATTGTTGTAACTTGCGTGTCGGGAAGATGTAAAGTTAAGGTGTGTAACGTGGAGGTCGGAAACCTTTAAACGGGTTTGTCCGACCTTAGGATGCTCAGGCTGCTGCCGGTGTAAACTTAAGTCGGACGCGTTGTGTGCGCTGCAATCCCCGAGCCCGGCTCCCGAGACTCCAAAAATAGGCTGCAGAGGCCGGCGCTGCCGGCGCCTCTCCCCGGGCAGCGTGCGGGGCGAGGCTCGGACGCCGGTGTCGGGGCTTAGACCCCGCGCGGACTCCGGCGCGGGGAGCTGCGGCCGCCAGCACCCCTTTGAAATATGCACAGTCCTTTCTGCTTAGTGACTCCAGCGTCACGGAGCTGGGTGTTTAAGTGCCAGAGGAAGGGGCTCGAGGCGATGTTATGCTCTGCCCGAGGAAATCTGAAGAGGGTACTCAGCTGGTGAATCTCAAAACGGATCAAGAAATTGACAGCCACAAATTTTATAAATGGCTTTTTGGGCATAGAAAGTATCTCGCCAACTGTTGGGGAAGCCTTGGGGACTCCTTGGTCTAAATGTCCACAAATTCTTTTTTTTTTTTTTTTTTTTTTTAATGGTTTCCCCATTGACAGTTTTCTAGAAGTGACTGGCCCGGTCCGCACACCTGAGAAAGCTTTTCACTTCCATTCTTGAAAGAGCTGTCTCCTGCTTTACCCTTTTAATAATATATTCATGGATTCAGAAATACAATTCTTTTTTTTTTTCCTTAAACGACGGGGGGGGGCGAATATTTTAAAATCAAATAAATAAGAAAGATTTCTTATGATAGAGAAATAAATGATTCGCCTCTAGAAATATGTTGGTTTTTTTTTTTTTTTTAAGATTTTATTTATTGGGACACCTGGGTGGCTCAGCGGCTGAGCGTCTGCCTTCAGCCCAGGGCGCGATCCTGGGATCCCGGGATCGAGTCCCACGTCAGGCTCCCTGCATGGAGCCTGCTTCTCCCTCTGCCTGTGTTTCATGTCTCTCTCTGTGTCTCTCATGAAAAAATAAAATCTTTAAAAAAAAAAACAATGTTTAAAAAAAAAAAAGATTTTATTTGTTTATTCATGAGAGACCCAGGCAGAGGGAGAAGCAGGCTTCCTGCAAGGAACCCGATATGGGACTCGATCCCACGTCCTGAGCAGAAGGCAGATGCTCAACCACTGAGCCACCCCGGTGGCCCTGTGTTGTGGATTTCTCGCTTTTAAAATACACTTCTAAAAATATTGAGGTATTTATTTTAAAATGTTTTCTTATTTCATAAGGTTTGTGGTAGCCTACTCACCCCCAAAGAAACTGGTGTTTCTGATTGTGCTTTTGAGTTGTGGGGTTTTTGTGGGATTTTTGTTTTTCTTCTTTTTAGTTTTGGACAAGAGAATTAGGTTACAAGTATTTCCCTTTTTATAATGTTGGTGGTTGCTTGTGGTTGAAGGTGCTTGAATATTAAAGACAGGATCATACCTATTTTTTCTGAGGCCCTAGGTACTGAAAATGAAAGAAATGTTAATTTCACTTGAAAGACCTACCTTATAATCAACATTCAGATTTTATTAGAAAAATTTGGTTTGTGTATTTCCCACATTACTTTCTTAAGAGGTGTAGTTTCTGCATCCTGTGCTATTTTTGCCTTTTTGAACTCAATCTTTAAAATGTTGTCAGGGCAAAGTGATTCTGTTTTTACTTTCTTCTTAAGTTGTTGTTATTATAATCTCAATGGATTGAATCCAGAAAATACATTTTCTTTTGATTTTTTAAATTATTTTTTAAGGATTTTTTTTATTTTTATTTATTTATGATAGTCACGGAGAGAGAGAGAGAGAGGCAGAGACACAGGCAGAGGGAGAAGCAGGCTCCATGCACCGGGAGCCCGATGTGGGATTCGATCCCGGGTCTCCAGGATCGCGCCCCGGGCCAAAGGCAGGCGCCAAACAGCTGCGCCACCCAGGGATCCCTTTTTTTAAGGATCTATTTATTTAGAGAGAGAGAGGAATAGAAGCAGACTCCCGATAAGTGAGGAGCCCCACGTGGGACTAGATGCCCACAACCCTGAGATCATGACCTAAGCCTAAACCAAAAGTCAGAGCCCAAGTGACTGAACCACCCAGGAGCCCCTCTTTTTTTTTTTTTTTAAGATTTTATTTATTTATTCATGAGAGGTGTGGAGGGGCCTGGCAGAGACACCGGCAGAGGAAGAAGCAGGCTCTCCACAAGGAGCCTGATATGGGACGATCCCAGGCCCCAGGATCACACCCTGAGCCAAAGGCAGTTACTCAATCCCTGAGCCACCCAGGCATCCCTCTTTTGGCTTTTAAATGGCAGTTGTAATTGGAAAATGTCAGGTGATAGCTCTTGTTTGCTGTCAGAACTAAGGCTGTAAGTCTCTAAGCATTGCTATATGGATGTAGGTCTGTAACAATCCAACTGTAATGCAAACCACATGAGCAACGTAAAGTTTCCTAAATAAAAAGAGAGAAACAACTGAGATTATTTTTAATATATTTTATTGAACCGATACAATTTCAGATGTAATCAGTTTGGTAAGTTAATAATGAGATATTTTGCGTTCTTTTATACTTAATCTACAAAATCTGGTTTAAGATTTTACTTATTCATTTTGAGAGAGAGAGCAAGTGCAGGAGAGAGGGAGAGGGAGAAGCTCAGTCACAGGACCCTGAGATCATGACCTGAACCAAAAGCAGATGCCCAACCTCCTGAGCCACAAAATCTGGTTTTTATACCTAGAGTACATTAGAATTCAGACCAGCCCATTTCAAGTGCTCAGAAGCTACACATAGCTAGCCAATGGATAGAACCTTAGTGGGCAGCACAGAGCTACTATGGGATTGATTGATTGATTGATTGATTGATTGATTGTTATGACACACACAGAGAGAGAGAGGCAGAGAGAGACACAGGCAGAGAAATAAGCAGGCTCCATGCCGGGAGCCCGACACAGGACCCCATCCCAGGACTCCAGGATCGTGCCCTGGGCCAAAGGCAGGCGCCAAACTGCTGAACCACCCAGGGATCCTCTACTGTGGGCTTTTAAAGATGTCTTCCTACCTTGAGAGTCTGGGGTAAACCCAGTGGGATAATTTTAAAAATCCTTTTCCTAAAGTGCTGTGATGTTCAGACTGAGAAGTTTGTGTGGCCGGAAGAAAGTTCCAAGAAATCTCTTCCCCTTAATGTTGACTGTATCATACTGAGGAGGATAAACAGGTGCCCAAGTGCATGTTTTGTGAGGGCTGTAAGATAATTAGAATACTCAGTCATTTCCTGGGGTGTCATTGTTACAGTTATTTATATCTGCATGTCAACAATGTCAGTCCTGTGTGAGTCTCTGTCTCCTTTACCTGTCTATATTAAAGAGGGAGAGCTGGAAGACTTACAAGAAGATTGGACTTTACTGTGAACAGGGAGAGTTTCTGCAGTCATAGACTTATTTTCTGAGTCAGTTTCACGTATGGCTGTTTCGTACATGTGCTCCTCTGTATTACAGTGTTGTTGGTCGA